GTTGGCAGAAGCGCACCGTTAAGCAGTGCCTTTTGAGCAACAATTTAAATCGGGCTCCAACTGGTCTTCAGCTAACCGCAATCGTGTCGTTGGGACAACTAGTGGAGAAGCGACGCAAGGCAGTCACGCAGGCAAGGACGTTGTTGAAGGTCAGACCCGTGGCACTAACCAAGACAATGTCGGTGACGCCCAGGCACTGCGTCGCTCGTCGCGACCTAACATGCTTCGTTGTTACACGTGCGGTGAGCAGGGTCATCTTCAGATGGCATGTCCGAAGAAATCTCGTCGTGGGTTGCTCATTGATGAGGTCAAATGGGACGGCGATGATGACGAGGGCCAGGAACTCGAGAATGACGAGTTGCCGGTCGAACGAACGTCGGGCGACCATGGTCAGTCGTTGGTGGTTCGTGTCTGCTTATCGCCGGTCGCGAGTGAGGAACCGTGGCTTAGATCGAATATCTTTCAGTCTACCTGTACAATCAAGGGTAAAGTGTGCCGATTTGTTATCGATTCTGGCAGCTGTAGGAATGTGGTGTCGGAAGAAGCTTGTCGTAAACTGAGTCTGCGACGAGAGGAACATCCTGCTCCGTATAAACTGACTTGGCTGAAAGAAGATACCGAGGTTCACATCACTCATCGTACATTGGTCTCGTTCTCCATCGGTACCCACTACAAAGACAAGCTCTTTTGTGATATCGTACCTATGGATGTCAGTCATTTGTTGTTGGGTCGTCCGTGGCAGTATGATCGTGACGTAATGCACCACGGGAAGAGCAACACTTACTCGTTCGTGTTTGAGAATAGGTGTATTATCCTCACTCCGAATCCTCCATTCTCACCGTCTCCATCACGAGCATTGTCAGAGCCGTCTCCTCCACACACCGTTGAGTGTACACCTCCTACGCCGGTTCTCTTGTGTTCACTAACGTCATTTCAATCTGAGTTTCAGGACACAGGATTTGCGGTTGTTCTTTTGATCTCTTCTGTGACATCAGATGCACCTCGCGTGTTACCTTCACAGATCGCGAGCTTATTAGAGGAGTTCAGGGATGTATCGCCGAGTGAGTTGCCCCAGGGCCTTCCTCCTCTTTGTGATATACAGAATCAGATTGATCTTGTTCCAGGCGCATCCTTACCTAATCGTCCTCACTACCGCATGAGTCCCCAAGAGCATGAGGAGTTGCGACGTCAGGTAGAAGCATTGATCGGCAAAGGACATGTCCGGGAGAGTTTAAGTCCTTGTGGGGTTCCAGCGTTGTTGATACCCAAGAAAGATGGCTCTTGGCGTATGTGTGTGGACAGCAGAGCGATCAACAAGATAACTGTACGATATCGCTTCCCTATTCCTCGTCTGGATGATTTGTTGGATCAGATTGGTAGTGCAAAGGTTTTCTCTAAGTTGGATTTGAAGAGTGGATATCACCAAATTCGAATTCGCCTAGGAGATGAGTGGAAGACAGCTTTTAAGACGCGTGAGGGCTTGTTTGAGTGGCTTGTGATGCCTTTCGGTTTGTCCAATGCACCCAGTACCTTTATGCGCGTGATGAACCAGGCGTTGCGCGCTTATACCGGCAAGTTTGTGGTGGTGTATTTTGACGATATTCTGGTGTTTAGTGCATCGCTGGAGGATCATCTTTCTCATTTGTGTGAGGTTCTTTTGGTGTTGCGTAAGGAAACCTTCTTTATCGCGGCACAAAAGTGTGAATTAGCGTATTGTTTTTGGGCTATGTGGTTTCGGATGAGGGTCTGTCTATGGACGAAGGGAAGGTGGCTGCGGTTTGCTCTTGGCCCAAACCTAAGTCCATTTCGGAGGTGCGTTCGTTTCATGGCCTAGTGTCATTTTATCGACGGTTTGTCTCTCATTTCAGCACCATTATGGCTCCTTTGACTGATTGTATGAAGGCTGATACCTTTTGTTGGACACCAGAGGCTAGTGCTGCGTTTTCTCTTGTCAAGGAGAAGCTCACCACAGCTCCAGTGCTGGTTCTACCGGATTTCAATGAGACCTTCGAGCTACATTGCGATGCTTCTAAATTAGGGATTGGCGCAGTCTTGAGTCAGAATTCTCGCCCTGTCGCTTTCTTTAGCGAGAAGTTGTTGGGGGCTCGTTTTCGTTACAGTACCTATGACGTGGAGTTCTACGCTGTGGTGCAGGCTACTAAGCACTGGCGACACTATTTGGTGCATCGTGATTTCATACTCTTTACTGATCATGATGCATTAAAGCATTTGGACACTCAGGTCAAAGTATCTTCTCGGCATGCCTCGTGGATTGCTTTCTTGCAGCAGTTTACGTTCTCCATTCGCCATAAAGCAGGAAAATTGAACCGTGTAGCAGATGCGCTCAGCCGACGGCGTTCTTTGTTGACGACGATTCATACTACAGTGCCAGGCTTTGCAACGTTTTCGGAGCTCTATCCATCTGATCCCTTCTTTGGTAAAATTTTTGAGGCGATCAAGACTGGTCAACTCGCAGATTTTACCTATACCGATGGCTTTTTGTTCAAGGGAGTCCAATTGTGTATCCCTGATTGTAGCCTTTGCCTGCGAGTGATCGAGGAGCTCCACAATGAAGGTCATGTCAGCAGGGATCGCACGTTGCAGCTTGTATCGGCATCTTATTACTGGCCGTCCCTTCGTCGCGATGTCGAGCGATTTGTGGAACGTTGTCGAGCGTGTCAATTGGCCAAAGGTCAAGCTTCGAATGCGGGTCTGTATCTGCCGTTGCCGATAACGACGCAGCCGTGGACTGACTTGAGTATGGACTTTGTTCTCGGGCTTCCTCGTTCCCAACGTGGTAACGATTCGATCTTTGTTGTTGTTGATCGTTTTTCCAAGATGGCTCATTTCGTGCCGTGTAAGCGAACAACGGATACTGTGAGGGTTGCTTCTCTCTTCTTTCAGGAGATCTACAGGTTACATGGTTTGCCAATGTCTATTGTTTCTGATCGCGACACATGTTTTCTAAGTCATTTTTGGCGTTCGTTGTGGAAGCTTTTGCATACGCGGCTGGACATGAGCACTGCTTATCATCCCCAAACGGATGGCCAAACGGAGGTGACTAACCGTGCTCTCGGTAATATGCTTCGATGTCTTGTTGGTGAGAACATTCGTGCGTGGGAATCTCGTCTTTGCCAAGCAGAGTTCGCACACAACCGGGCAACTAATCGGAGTTCTGGTTTTTCCCCCTTCGAGGTTGTTTACAGTCTTCTACCTCGAGGACCGTTGGATCTTACTACCGTTCCGGACAGGCGTCGCTTTCATGGTCGTGCAGTAGATTTTGTGGACGCATTGCAGGATACGCATCGACAGACTCATGATAAGCTTACCTTGTCTGCGCAGAAGTACAAACGTCGTGCTCATGGGAAGCGTCGCGAGGTGATCTTTGAACCGGGTGATTTAGTGTGGGTTGTTCTCACAAAAGATCGTATGCCATCACAGGAGTACAATAAGCTTCGTTCGAGGAAGATTGGTCCCGTCGAAGTACTGCAGCGCATCAATAATAATGCGTACAAGTTAAAGCTTCCTCCTCACTTGAAGACCGCTGATGTTTTTAACGTCAAGTACATTTCTAAGTACCAGGGCGTCAACGACATTCCAGATTCAGAGGCGAATCTTCTTCTACCCGGAGGGACCTGATGCAGCGCATCTTATCATATCTATCTTTAAGTTTCTATTTCCTTATTATTTTAGCTATGGGTTTTTACTTATGTTTGGGTTTTCATATTACTTGGACTTTAGGTTTATTTCCTTTTTGTATTTGTTTAGGGTTTTCGTTTAGCAGCTATTATAAATAGCTTCCTCTTTCTAACGAAGGAGCAACTTTTGATATTATTGAATTATTCAGAGCTTTCCAAGCTTATACCTCTCTTGTTTCTCGGCTATTCCTTCGAATCAACGAGCTACAAACTTTCTCTTTTGTTCGGCTATTCTGTGAATCAACGAGCAAACGAGTCGTTACGCTTACGCTACGCCAAAAATCTATAGTAACACAGCACATTAACGTAAGCAAAACCAACCAAGACTAGAAGTGGAGTCTAAGACTTTCCACGAACAATCAATATATCCTACATTGGGGAGACTTATATTATTCTTCTATCGTTTTCTTTTACCATTGTGTTGTGGACAAAATATACTTGTGAATTTTTTCACATCACGTGAATTTATAATGTATGAACGTTCATATTGAGTCCCTTGGATTACTATTTTATTCATAGCTTTCCAAATGAGCCACTAAATCCACAGATAACAATTTATCTCATTTTTAAGAGCTGTTTTATTTAAGACTTTCGAAACAAAAAATGTATAAATTACCCCTCTTGGGAAACTATCATGTGTCAGTGAAATCGGTAATGAAGTCCATGTTTAAAGAGAATGTGGACATTGGAAAAATACTTATTTCTGCTAATTACATTAGGAAAAAAGTAGTCTCAAATTGGAACTTTTACCGTGACCGAATGATTTTCATATTTTATTTTAAATACTATATAGAAAACGCTCGGAAAATATTTATTCAATTTCGAATTTTCACCATGACATGACCGGATGATTTTAATATTGATTCTCAACAACAAAAGAATTTTTGAAGTTTAGGAAAAATGTAATGTAAAACCATCAGGAACGTCGACAAAAAAAAAGAATTAGAATTAGATTTTCTTTTTTACTACAAGACCCAATCAATCTGACTAGATAAAGTTCTTGCTTCATCGATTTCACAGGACGACAGAGAGTGATCTCGAAATGTACAAACATGACGTTATCCGTTGAACCTAGACCGCATTTTCGTATCGTAATGACGTCACAAAATTTCAGAAACCCACCAAACTTTATTATTTCTCGGACTTTCGCAAAGTTGACTTTTTTGGAAATTAAGAACTGACAAAAAAACAACTGTTTGTGTTCAAACAAAAGAACACCAAATTTGATTCAAACTTTTTGTCATAAATCCTTGTTTTTTTTCACTTTCCCGAAACAAAAAATAACACACGACTGTAACTGTAAATAAAAGAAAGTTTTCCAATGAATAAACTAGCTCTCGAGGAAAGAGTGTTATTAAGCTAACTCTTTCTCTTAAAAGAGTGACATCGAAAGAAAACTCTCTACGAGGTTTGTTTATACCCAAATGGATTCTCAGGCAAGAAAAAAAAAAAGGTAACGGAAGCATCATCATCAGATCCCAAGAGTTACATTCAGAAAACAAGAGACCAGAGATGCAGACAAACATCTTTACATGTCTGTGTATGCTGTTTCGCTCAAGAGAGATAGAGAGAAAGAGCGATATATATATAATATATATAGAGAGACATTATCTGAAGAAACCTGTAGCTAAGATCAATGCATTGGATGCCTCGGTGATCTTGGACGAACAGGCGTCTTTGAAGGACTCACCCTGACATAACAAACCAAGAAACAAAAAGTCTCAGCAAAAGAGTCTCGAGCAGAGTATTTTACGAATATTGCTTTTGTTTTCTCTGACCTTATCGGTAAAGAACCTAGAACAACTCCACTACAGTTGAGAGCTGCTATCGCGCTTTCTGCCTGTGAAGCAACAAAGATCGATTACTCAGAAGTATTGACACAAGGACCATGTTTTGGACCAAGCAGAGTAAAGCATATGCTTACCATCACGAACTCTACAAAAGCAATACGAGTTGAGTGTTGATAATCTCCAAGCAGCCTCAGACGGTAAACCTGTTTTTAACAACATCTAATGAGTCCATTGATTGCTCTCAACAAACTTTGCAGATGCAATTACAAGATATGTTCACCTCTCCACAGAACGATTCGAAGAAGATCTTCACGTCTGATTGAGTAACCTTTAGCAAAAGTAAAGAAGAAGCACAAGTGTGAAAAGGGAGACACTTTCAGCAATTCATAAGCTTTATGTGTGAAGATAAAACAAATTCGAGGGAGGAGTCACCTTCTTGTCTATGTTAGTGCAGTAGATAGTTCTTGCACACATCTCACGCTCATCTTCAGTCTGCAACAACCAATAACAAATCATTTTCCGAGTCTCGGAGCATCAGAGACTTTGCATAGTAACAAGAAAATCTCACCCTAGGTAAGAAAGTCGGGTTAACCGGTGCAATAGCTGTTTTGGATGGCAAAACTTTCACAGGATAGAATCCCAACATAGTTCCGGATAAATTCAGAGCAGTCATTGCACCCTCTGAAAAAAAAAACCACATTGCCAACACAACACATTCAACCACAAGACCAGTGAAGTACACTATTACTCCGAAACCGACACAAGTAGAGAAATGATGATACCTTCATCAGTGAACTCTATGAACGCAAACCGGAGGACGGAGTTTGGGTCACCACATATGCGACAGTCAACAACCTGCTTAAACCGAAACACAGTACAGTAAACAAACACAGAGATGGAGTTTTATAGATAAGAGCTTCAAAAAGATTAGTTTTTTAAACCTGTCCACAGTTCACAAACAAACCAGCAAGCTGCTCTTCAGTGACCTACACACACAGCGAAAAAGTCAAAGATGGAAAAATCTGAGAACAGATTACGACGAGAGAACAAGGTGTAATTTTTCCAACCTGTTGATCGAGATCAGAGACATAGACGGTTCTTCTGATGACATCTTCTCGTTGAGCCATGCTTGTTCGAGCGTTCATCCTCCGTTTCCCTTGACCAAAGCTCTTCTTCTACATCACAAAAAAACACACAATCAAAACGAATGTTATGGATAGTTTCAGGAATCAAAAAGTTATCATTTTTGAAGATCCACAACGAAAATGATTCATATAATTCATCAAACAACAGAAACCCTTAAGACAATTCGGTGGAAACTGAACCTCAATAGAATCAAAGATCACAAAATTGAAGAGAGATACAATTGAAACAAACCGGTGTCTCTTACCCGTCGGAAACCGCCGTTTTCGTTACCGTAGCCATTTCCGGCACCACCGAAGCCATTGTTGCGGAAAAAGGAACCAGCAGAGGTGAAGAAACCACCGTTAGCACCGTTAAGTCCTCCGTTACCACCTCCTTGTTTAGTCAGCGAAGGAGGAACAAACTCTTCAGCCATGGGATTGAGCTTAGAGAAAAGCTCCTGGAGCTCCCTCATGTCACGCTTGAAGCTCTCTCCGCCATCTACGCCGTCGGATCTCGCCGCGTGGGACCCGATCTTGCTGTAGAGACCGCCCTGATCGTGCCGGAGAGCCTGACCGCCGAGCTCGATCCTCGAGGAGTGGTGGTTCTGATCATCGGAAGAAACGCCGGAATCTTGACTTGTCGGCGAAGAAGGCGGCTGGATCACGACTCCTGGATCAGCAGCAACTCCACTCTCAACAACCGCCATGATCAGACAGAGAAAAGGTGAGATACCCAGAAATCAAAATCGGAAATTTTGACGGAATTGGCGATCGGTTCAAGATTTGAGGAAGAAAAGGAGAGGAATCAGCATAAGGTGCTCTCTCTGCAAGGAGGAAGAAAAAGAGAGAGAGAAAAAGAGAAAAGAAGAAAAGAGGATTAAGAGTTATAATCAGAGGATCGTTGTTAATAAATGGGATTTGATGAGAGTGATTAAGTAAGGATTTGTTGAGAAACCGGAAAATGCTATTTACTCACTTGCTTTTCTGTTTTTACTGCGGTGAATAAATTAGGCGATTGGGATAATGGAGAATCTAACCGTGCCGAAGAGAGAAAGATCACGCTCAGTCGCTCACAGTGTCTGCTCTCTTTTAAGTCTTTTTCGGACCGAAGCTAAGATAGTAGGGACTCAAATCTACATTTAACTCTTTTTCTGGCTAAAAATCTACATTTTTTTTTTAAATCTACATTACACTAAGAAAGCCAAAAAAATGACAATAAGAAAAGATGATATAAAAATGGTAGAAGATAATAATGATAGTAAATGATATTATAAATATAAGTTTGAATGGTAGAAAATTGGGTGATACCATGACAATAATACAATATAAAATAAGTAAATTAAATACACTGTAAAAGATAGATTTGTTTCTTAAAATTATTTAGTAAATTACATTTTAATGAACTTTCAAAAAACAAATTACATAAATGTATTTTTACTCTCATACTCATATCAAGATTTCTAATAGATTTAGAGATTTAAAGATTCAAATGAAAAAGATAGGAATTATTTGGTAGGAACTGTGAGTTGCTGTTATTTGAAAACAAAAACTTTAAAATAATTTAGCTTTTAAAAGTAATATGTGACTTCAAGAAAAGAAAAAACTACAGTTTGATGGATTTTTATTATTTAAACATCACGCATAAAAAAATAGAAGTTGGGGTGTGATAAATTTAGGAATTAGTTTATGATGTTTTAGTAAAAATTTCCTTGGATAATTTAAGAGTTTGAAGACTTTTAAAATAAATTAAAATCTTAAAAGTCTCTAAGCGGCCCCATAATAGCCAATCACAATATGAAAGATTTTAAATGCATTTCCTTAAAAGTTTACTCTTGAAAAACGAGTATTTTGATAATACAAATAAATAGAAAATATAAACACTAACATATAATACCTCTTCGCAGCTATAAATCGCCACACAGGTTTAGTACTCTAGTGAAATACGACAAGATGCAATACTAAAAACTTTACTGGTTTAAACATAGCGGATGTGTATGCGGGTATGGGAGTTTGTGGAAGTAGATAGTTGTGATTTCAAACATTCTTGAGTAATTCATACAAAGTGTGGTAGTTGAAACTTGAAAACAAGTTCATTTGCAAGACTACTATCATAAACAAAAACGGTTCTTCCAATCAACACTAATAGAAAAATCAATCAATACCAAAATGTAAGAATCAGTCAACACATCCCGCTCAATAAACACATTTTGAAATGCTGGTAACCGAAGCCAACCTAGTGGCTTCAATGTGGCTTGTGCTCTTGGTCATTCAAGATATGTCGGCCAAGACATAATGATGGGTAAATATTAACTTAGATTATATATTGTAATTCCAGATAAAATGAACACTAGACATATCTATGTTTTATATGCAGTAATTTTAGAAGTCATCTCAATGAAACTGTGTTTGTGATTTTAATTAAGCAAATCCATAATCTGAGAAAAAAAAACGCAAATTCAATATCCCCAACCGTTCTAAGTGGGGCCAAGCCCGGCCCATAATGACGACATCAAAAGCCCAGAAGAGTTCGACGGACTTCAGACCGTAAATAAACTTCGTTTATTTTCCCAGCGACGGACTTTCTTGTTCAACTCCGCTTCCGAGTTCCGACAATCAAACACCACTTCGCCGCCTACTCTGTTCAGCTTAGCTGCTTACTACCGCAATTGGATGCCGGAGCCGGAGATGCATACGTCGAGTTTGAGTTTCTGTCAGAATCTCGAATCTAATTCTCTCCTGCTCAGGTGATACTGCTCTCGTTCTTCGAAATCCTCGAGCTTCTCGAATTTGAGAATTATGCTTCTTTGATTCCTAGGGTTTGTTAGAATAGCTAAATCGGTTAAGAAATTAGCGAATTTGGGGTTAGGGTTTTGTTTTTTTTTGTTTTCCTTTCATGGGTTCTTGTTCTGTGTAGTTGGGCAAAGAATTATAAGAATTTGGGGAATTAGGGTTTGTTAGGTTAGATTCTACGAGATGAAAGGAAGGTCGTATCGGTTCTCAAGCACGGAGCATCACGAGGATTGGGTTGATGGATCCTGGACCGTCGATTGCGTCTGTGGTGTGAATTTCGACGATGGAGAAGAGATGGTGAATTGTGATGATTGTGGGGTTTGGGTTCATACTCGGTGTTCACGTTACGTTAAAGGAGAGGAGCTTTTCACTTGCGACAAGTGTAAGAGCAAGAACAACGTTAACGACATCGAGGAGACCGAGGTTGCTCAGCTATTGGTTGAATTGCCCACCAAGACCTTGAGGATGGAGAATTCGTGTACTCGTAATGTACCTCTGAAGCGTCCTTTTAGGCTTTGGACCGAGATCCCGACAGAAGAGAAGGTTCATGTGCAAGGAATCCCTGGCGGTGAACCGTCTCTCTTTGAAGGGTTGTCTTCTGTTTTCTCCAGGGAGCTGTGGAAGTGCACAGGTTATGTGCCGAAGAAGTTTAACTTCAAGTTTAGAGAGTTTCCTTGCTGGGATGAGCAAGACAAGGAGGAGAACGGTGCAGGAGTTTTGTTTTCTATGTCCAAGGAAAATTTGATTGCTGCTCCTGCGAGTGCTTTGGTTGCAATGAAGAGCCTTGATTATAAAGGAAAGCTTGGTTGTGCAAAAGATGGTAATAGTTGGGACTCTGGCGAAGCGGAGATGAGACGTTCCCAGGGTGGTATGAAGAAGGATAAGAGGTTGCTTCGTCCTTTGATTACAAATAAACGAAGAAAAGAACTGTTTGGAGCTTCCAAAGAGCGGATGAAGAAGAAGGTTGACGTTGCAGACAAAGAAGAGGATGGTGATAAGAAAGGTTTTGTCTGTAAAACAGGTTAGTGAAACCACTCTTTGGACCTCATATCTAAACTGCTATATCCATTGGTCTTAAATTAATATCTTTCTGTTTGTTCTTTTGAAATCACTAGCGAATCGACCTACCAGCAATTCTAAACCATCAGAATCTCGTAAGGAGATAGAACCAGAAGGTGTTACTAGCGACGTTGGGGTCACAAAGCTTGAGAAGTCCAAGAAAGCTGCTTTTGAAGGATCTGCTGATGGTGGCCTTGCTCAGAAAATTGGCGGTGATGAATCTGGTAATACAGAAATTGGTGTTGAATGCTCCAGAGAACAGAATCTTTCTGACGTTCATGCTAATGGTGCTGGAAAACAGGAAGAGAAAGCTGGTCATCATTTCCGAATTGTGCTTAAGAGCTCTGCAACTAATGATCTTTCCGTTGGCGGAGGAAAAGATGTTCCAAACAATGAGGCTAATAAGGCGGATGAGGTATGTCTTAGATTGGCTTAGATTTATACAAATATGAAACTTACTTTTGATTGAATGACCCTCGATTAGATCATTGACACTAATATCATAGGGGTTTATCGTGAAATAAATATTGATCAAGGTGTCTAGTTAAACGAATTTGATCTGTTGCATATATATGCCCTCCTAGAATAGGCCTACAGTGGAGCTGTAATGAGTTATTGGATTAATGCTTTGTGTTAGTAATAGGAAGCTTAGCTAGCTAGAAGTGCCTTGATTTTATGGAAAAAAGAAAGATAGGATGTCTTGTAGGCTCTTGCATAAAGATAAAAATGGGTTTTCTACAGTAATGAGGATGATTTACTTATTTTTACAGAGACAAGGGTCAAAAGCTGATGCTCCAGAAGATAATGCAGTTAATTCTCGTGAAAGTCTCCAGAAGCCTTCTTCTGGCTCCACGGTCGGTATAACACGAGAAATTGAGGAGAAAATTTGTGATGATGTCTGCGGGAAAATCGGTTCTAGGAACAAACTCCAAAAAGAACCTGCGGATACTGGTACCGGTGGATCCGGAGGTCACCAGACTCTGGATCCTACTGTTTCTAAAGCTTCGGGGACCTCGATATCTCAAATCTCTGGGGCTTCTGACTTAAACAAAATGACACCAAGCAGTTCACTTCCTGATGATCACAAACCGCAGCCTCTTGATACTGTATCAGAAGGAATAAGTAGTGGCAATAATGGTAGAAATATTGAATTAAAGCGAGAACTGGTGGTTTCTGAATCAGGAAAAGATGTTTTGGAAACGAACCCTGGATTTCAAGAGCCATCAAAGCCTTGCAGACCTGTTCCGCACACATTTTCAGTATATGGCAGACCTAAGATGGTAGTATGCATTGGAAAACCATCGTCTAGTTCAGCCGCGGAAAAGTCTACTAGGTGTGATGACAACCCTAAGCCTTCAACTTCCAGAAATTCTATTCCTGGCTCGAAGCAACAACCAAGTGGTGGTGATGCTAATGCTAATGCTAATGATGAGGACTGTGTTTCCAGTGATGCGATCCGAGGGAGAGATGGAAATGATGAACCTTCAGAGAAAGCTTTGAAAGAACATTCTAAATTCTCTGTTACCTCTACGAAATCGACACAGCAAAACCGTTCTTCCCATTCTTCATCTTCCAAGACTAGAGAGTCTTCCTCTTCTTCAAAGGCATCTTCAGCAGCTCGGCTTAATGGTAGTACTTCCGAGGCAACTGCTAAACCTTCGCTTTCAGGGACCTCCCAGAAAAATGAAAAGCCTGGACAATCAATAATGCAGTCATCGTCTAAGAACCCTGTGCAATCTATAATATCCCTTACTCCAAATCTGAGCGATGAAGAGGTGTGTGAGATCTAATCCATTCTCTTTTTTTTTTTGTTCGTCTTCCCCCTCTTCTACGGTTTTGACTTTTTTTTGGTTTGTTTCAGCTTGCGTTAAGACTGCACCATCAGCTCAACAGTTCTCCTCGAGTTCCTCGTGTCCCACGCATGAGACAGCCTGGTAGCTTGCCCCTGTCTCCAACCGCTACTAGTTTTAAGCGCACTTCTAGTTCTGGTAGCAAGGATCACGCAACGGTATGCTGTAATAATTTTGATCATTATCTTCTTAAGTCAATGCTCTCTTTAGGCTTAAGCTTGTTGGCTGATTTCTGTATTTATTTGGCTAGTTTTCCAGAAGGAAAAACAAGGATGCATCAAAAGACGGTTTACGCAGTTTTCGTGATGATGATAGATGTAGTACGAGGAGTACCAAAACGCGTCACTCTCCTGATTGGAGGACACAACAAGACAGTGGAAGCAGAGGGAGTTTTTGTACCAAAGGGGAAGAAAATGAAACCCCGAAAACCTCTTACTCTTCTCGGAAAGTACTTCTCCCGCCAAACTCGACTACAAGCACAAGCAGCGGACCGAGTTCTTCCAACGACTTGAATGAGCATAATAAGCCTTCTCCACACAGTTCTCCAAGGAATAATGGTACTCCAGTGCATCGAACTTTGCCAGGGTTAATCAATGAAATCATGAGCAAAGGCAAGAGGATGACATATGAGGAGCTCTGCAACGCAGTCTTGCCGGTATAATACCTTCTTACCAAATATCTCTGATCTCAGACATATCGTCCTCTACTCACTTTTGATCACAGAATAGCTGTTCTTATGTGTTATTGGTCTCTGTCTTGCAGCACTGGCCTCACTTGAGGAAACACAACGGAGAGAGATATGCCTATTCAAGCCATTCACAGGCTGTTCTTGATTGCCTAAGGAATAGGCATGAATGGGCTCGTCTGGTTGATCGTGGCCCTAAGGTTTTGGCTTTAACTATCACTCTTTTATTTTGTGTTCAACATTTAATATTGACCTCAAATAACCATCTTGTCTTGTCGGTTGTTTCAGACGAATTCAGGCAAAAAGAAACGGAGGCTTGATGCAGCAGACGAGGAGTCAGATGAGAACGAAAGCAGCAAAGGAGGAGTTAAGCGAAATCATCAAAATCACTCTCAAGGAGAAGAGTTTCCTAAAGGCAAAAGGAAAGCAAGAAAACGAAGAAGGCTCGCTCTTCAAGGAAAAGGCATCAAAACGCTGAGAAAGAAGAGAAACCAAGAAGAAGAAGTGAGCGAAGAAGACGAGGAAGGTGCGTTCTCGGACACAAGCGAGGAGAGTGTCTTCTGCGAAGAAGAAGGAGAAGAAGAGGTCCCCACCACTACTGCTGCTGGTAGAGAAGTCTCTGCTAGTAGCTCTGAGGAACCTCAAGCCACTTCATGACTCTTCTCTCTCTTTTCTTTATGTGATATATAGAAGTGTATATGTGTATGCATTATATAGTTTTGTGTATTTACTAAAAAGCTTCTCTTGTCGGGGATCAGCCGATCAGAGATTTGTAGAAAACACAGATAATCGCCTCTTTTCTCAATATAGGCAATAATAATAATTTTTGTGCTTCTTTTAAAAGGCGTTTTGGGAATTATGGGATGGTTCTTCTCTGAGCTGTATTTATGTCTTAAGGTATATAATTTACAGTTTAGGAAAAAACTCTAAATTGATGTGTGCTTTTTCTTCTTAATTGTTTTCCTTGAGGAAAGTAAAGACTTTGAGATCTTGTGCGTGCTTCTGGTTTTAACAGATATATAAAAGAATGAATATTTTGAAATTAATTATATCAAAGACAATATTTTATCAATTCGAAAAAAAGACAATATTTTATTTTTAACAGACAACAAGCCAACTATAGAAATGATTTGTTGTCCATTTTTTAAAAACTGATGAAAAGAAAAGGTGGTATTTTCTAGAGGATGAAATTTTGATTTTACGCAAACAAGTTAAGGAAAACTTAAAGGAAAAGGCAAAACAACAATAATATACTTTGCTCTTTTTGCTATATCTCCATTGCTTCACCAATATTATTAACCCTTTAAAGTAAAGATACAATGCTGGAAAAGGAATATAATTCTGAAAAACTGTTTATAATTCCATCCAAAATAAGTAAAATTCAAACATAAAAGGTGCAATATTTTACCCGATTTAACGTAAAAGGAGTATATAATAATAATGATATTAATATTAAATTAAATAATGAATGAGAAAAATGGCGCTTGGGATTGGCCGTTGTTTACTGGAGAAGAGGAAAGGGCATAAAAGGGATCGTGAATCCAACCAGAGTTTCTTCTCTTTCTCTCCTTATCTCTGCCGATTTCTCTCCAAGGCGGTCTCTTTTCTCTCTCTCTGTCTCTCAATCTTCCTCCTTCAATCTAGGGTTCCTCAGAATCTCTTTCCTAAATCTTTCCTTGTCGTCAATTTGCTGTCTTTGACAGAGGAAAAACTGCTCTTTTGGTCTCTCTGGATTTGGGTTTCCTTCAATTTCTCGACTTCTCTCGGTTTCTTCCGATTCAAGTGTACGTTGACATGTCGTTTTTGTTTGTATTCCGATTTTGAAATATCTTTGAAATCCTTTCCCTTGTGATTGGCTTTTATGGCGGATCTTGATCTCTAATTTTTTATTTTTTAATGTTTGTAGTGTGATTCGAATAAGATGACCGTCTCTGATTCCGAATCCATGGTGGAGATCGGAGTTTGTGATATTCCTGTAACTCCAGAGGAGGAGAGACGTATTGTGACGGAGCTGACTAGCGAAGCGGAGGGGAATTTAAAAGAGGGAAACTTGTATTTCGTGATCTCGAACAGGTCTCGTGCTCGTCTTCCTCGTAATGATTCTTTATGCATTGCGATCTCTGGTTGCATATAGTTTCTGAGTACTCTAGCTTTTACTTTAGCTCTTCATTGGCTCATGATCTTTAGTCCCTGGTTCTTATCAAGAAGATTTGTGAAATCTCTTTAGCTTCTTGTAGAAGTAGCATTTGATCCTTGAATGTAAGTTCTTATGCTAATTGTCTGGCATAAGATCGGTCACTGTTGTAACCTTTCTTGTTCAAATCTATAGGGTCTTGTGTTTCAGACAATGTGTTTTGTTTTTTTTGTTTTTTTTGTCGATGGCTGTGGACTTTTGCCAGAGATTATTGGTGATGAATAAATTTTTATACTCATCCTGGAGTTTGGATTTTTGTGTTGTTACTCACTCTATATCCTTCGCCCAGTTTTGGCTGTATCTTAACGTTTAAGTGTTAGTGCAGGTGGTACACAAGCTGGCAGAGATGTGTTGGGCTACTAACAGAAGAATTATCTAGTGAAGAGCCTTCAGAAGTTACCAGGCCCGGACCAATTGACAATCACGATATTATTGACAGTGAAAGTGACGCTAGTGATCCGCAGCTTCGTAAAAGGCTGGAGGAAGGTGTCGACTATGTTCTAGTTCCTGAACAAGTTTGGAGAAAGCTCGTGGAATGGTGATTGTTTCCTCTTCCGATTATTTTATTGGGTTTAGTTACTCTTATTGTCTGCATTTGAGTCTAGCTTTGAATGATGAGAGATGCTTTCAGAGGGCTAATCTGCTTCTATATCTTTCAGGTATAAAGGAGGTCCTCCAATACCGAGGAAGATGATCTCTCAAGGGGATTACAGTAAGAGCTACAGTGTGGAGGTTTACCCACTCTGCCTTAACTTGACAGACAGTAGCGACGAAAGTTGTACCATCATAAGGTTGAGCAAACAGGTATGGTGCCCTCTCGTACTACTCTTGCAACTGTGTTTTTAGGCTATGAACAACAACTGTAGACCATTTGTAGTGTTTGTGAAAGTTGAAAGACTCCGTGCTTTGTTCCCTTCTGATATGGATTGTTGATGTGCCAGGCTTCTATAAGTCAACTTTATGAGATGGTTTGTGCTCTAAGAGGTGTATCCAAAGAAAAGGTCTCTGCTCGAAGCTTTTCCCTTCTTGATACCCACTGTTTGATTCAGAAATGTAATGGTTGCTCCATTTGATATGTATAAGCAGGCTCGCATTTTTGATTACTTCCAGAAGAGTAAAAGCGTATTCCTGGATCCTTCATCTGAAAAAAGCTTGGAGGAATCGTGCCTTCAATTAGACCAGGATGTAAGTGTCTTGATATCTCTCTCGGTTACATGACTGCTTTTGATGGATTGCCTTTGTCTTTGGCTTTATTATTGTTTTAGTTGAAGGTCGTCTTAATGATTTTTTATTGGATGGAACTCCTTGTATATATTCTTGTCTCAATATTTGGTGAGCTTTTTGGCGCTTTTCAGCTCGTATATTGTTACTGAACCAAAAACTCATTTTGGCTTGCCTTTATTTACTATAGTTCTATTTGTTTGGTATTGATGTGTATATTTCATGTAGATTCTTCTTGAAGTTAATGGGTCTGCGTCTTCTCAATTTGACATGAGCTTGGCGGGAAATGAGTTAGCTCTGGTACCTGTAGAGCCTATGAGATCAGATGGTGAGGGGACGGTATCTAATGGTTACTCCAACGGTTCCAAGTTTAGCCTCTTTGGGCGAAATCCTTTCGAAGATGATGGTTGTGATTCGTCGAGTGCCTTTGGGAAAAAAGAGAGGAGAGGTTTAGGAGGATTGCAGAATTTGGGAAACACCTGCTTCATGAATAGCACTCTTCAGTGTTTGGCCCATACACCGCCTGTTGTTGAATATTTCTTGAAAGATTACAGCGAGGACATTAATGCAGATAATCCTTTGGGAATGCGTGTAAGTAACTTGAATTGGTCTCTGATTATATTCTCCATGTGAGTTTTTTTGAAAATCTATCTGTATCTCTAATGCAGGGTGAGCTGGCGATTGCATTTGGTGAACTTTTGAGGAAGTTGTGGTCATCCGGTCAAAATTCAGTTGCACCACGCTCTTTTAAGACAAAATTGGCTCGATTTGCACCACAATTTAGTGGTTATAATCAGCATGATTCTCAAGTAAGTCCTATGCTCCATATTGGTTGTGTATTTAACAATTAGACAAAATATCTTTTTTTCTTGGCATTTCTGTTGGCTTTTTAACTTCCTCTCACACTGGGAAACAAATGTCTTCTTGATCTCTTCATGTAAGATATGTAAACTCATTGTTTCCAGGAAATGCTTGCTTTCTTGTTGGATGGGCTTCATGAAGATTTGAACAAGGTTAAACGAAAACCTTACATTGAAGCTAAAGATTCAGATGGTCGTCCAGATGATGAAGTGGCCGAAGAAAAGTGGAAATATCACAAGGCCCGAAATGACTCTGTGATAGTTGATGTTTGCCAAGTAAGTATTCTTACCTCCCTTGTATCTTCTCTTCTACCTAAATGTATTATTTCTTTTTCAAGTATTCGAAGTTTCTGTCCCCTTCTTTGTCTGTTCTGACCGTTTCTTATGCTGTATGTGTTTTCACTTCAGGGACAATACAAGTCAACACTGGTCTGCCCAGATTGTGGAAAAATCTCAATTACTTTTGATCCCTTTATGTACTTAACTTTGCCATTGCCATCAAGTCGCACTCGATCAATGACAGTTGCAGTATTTTACGGCGATGGAAGCCATCTTTCAGTGCCATACACTGTAACAGTTCCTAAAGATGGTTCTTGTAGAGATCTCAGTAATGCAGTAGGCGCTGCTTGCGGCCTGAACAATGATGAGTTTCTTTTACTCGCAGAGGTACTCATTTTGGCGAGTCCTTTGCTTATTGTTTTCGTTGTCCTTGACTTCTTGTAAATAAGGCTCAACTAAGCTGTGGGATTTCCCTCTCAGGTTTATGATCACAAGGTCTTTAAATATTTTGAGCATCCCCTGCAATCGCTGAGTGCGATAAAAGACAATGACCATATTGTGGCATATCGGTTCAACCAGATGCACAGAGGACCAGGAAAAGCCAAACTTGAAATTCTCCATGGAGAGCAGAAAAAGTCAGCTTGCTTACTTTTTACTCTTTCGTTTGAGAATTCTTTTTTTTTGTTTGTTTCCTTCTTGAGTTTTACTTCTAATGGATTAGAACTTCCAAAATTCACAGGTCTGATAGTGTCGGAGATCTAAAGCTCTTTGGAACTCCCCTTGTTACTTATGTCAATACTGAACCACTTAGTGTAACTGACGTTGATTCAATTATTTCTGGATTGCTGTCACCTCTACACCGGACTCATTCATCATCTATGGTTGAGGATGGAGAGGAAAACGGCCACATTCCAGACGTTGCTGATGAAACACCTGGAAGCTTATCACCTAGAGACACTGAAACAGGGGATATTGCAGTTGATGATGATAAAGAGCTATCCTTCAACCTCTTCTTGTCAGATTACTCTTTCAGTCCCAAGCTACTCGAGTCCGATTTAGTTGTGAATCCTCGTAGTGTTACAAAGGTTATAGTCAAGTGGAACGAGAAAGAGCATGAAAAATATGATTCCAGCTACTTGGATGATCTACCTGAGGTTCATAAAACAAGTTTCTCGGCGAAGAAGATAAGGCAAGAGGAAACTTCTTTGTTTTCGTGCTTGGAAGCCTTTCTAGCAGAAGAGCCTCTCGGACCAGATGATATGTGGTATTGTCCTGCGTGCAAAGAACACAGACAAGCGAACAAGAAGCTAGACTTGTGGAAGTTGCCAGATATACTTGTGATCCACCTGAAACGGTTCACGTATAGTAGATACTTCAAGAATAAGATTGATACATTCGTGAATTTCCCGATTCATGATCTAGATTTAAGCAAGTACGTGAAGAACAAAGACGGTCAAACATATCTTTACGAGCTGTATGCTATTAGCAATCATTACGGTGGCCTAGGAGGCGGTCACTACACTGCTTACGCTAAGGTATATATTTTCTTTTTGTGTGCCAAGTGAATTGGTGTTTTGTCTTGTCTACTTTGATATTTGCTTTTCTAATATGTCTAATGACAAATGCGTGGAAACTAATCTGTGGGCTGTTTGCTAATTATGCAGTTGATGGACGAGAAAAAATGGTATGATTTTGATGACAGCCATGTTTCAGCTATAGATGAATCAGAGATCATGACTCCGGCTGCATATGTTTTATTCTATCAAAGAGTGAGAAGTGAATCAGAGACATCGAATATGGATGAGGATTAGTTCATTCTTCAGGATTCATGACAAAGATTTGCTCAAGAAGATTCCAGTCATTGGTCTCATTGCTCTAATGTTTTCTTCTAAAGCCTATTGACTTAAGAAATTAGATTCTTTAACATTGTTTGATTAGGGTATATTACCATTTCCCCAGTGTGGGATAAAATTTTGGGCAGTGAAGAAACAGATTATATAATGTGTAGGTGGGTGGAGAAATTGCCCTGCGATTAGATATTCCAGATACACTTACTAGTTACTAATATACGAGTTGTTCTTACAAGTTAATGTTGCAGCAGATTATTTGGTCTGAAAATTCTTTTCTTTTTTCTATCTGAGTATTGTTGTATTTACAATCAAAAGATGATGAGAATCACAATCAAAAGATGATCAATCTAAAAACGACTTGGAAACTGATATATGTGTGAACCAAAACCTAAAGCCTCTCAAGATCGTAAGACAAACATCCAAAACCAATGTCAGTTTCAGTAATATCTGATCAGCTAATAAAGACTAAAGGCTAAAGCTTAGAACACTAACCAACCACCCTTTTGCTCTTAAAATTCTTTTCTTCTTTCTATCTGAGTATTGTTGTATTTACAATCAAAAGATGAGAATCAATCTAAAAACAACTTGAAAACTGATACATGTGTGAACCAGAACCTAAAGCCTCTCAAGATCGTAAGACAAACATCCAAAACCAATGTCAGTTTCAGTAACATCTGATCAGCTAACAAAGGCTAAAATCTAAAGCTTAGAACACGAACGAACCACCCTCTTGCTCTTAAAATTCTTTTCTTCTTTCTATTTGAGTATTGTTGTATTTACAATCAAAAGATGAGAATCAATCTAAAAACGAATTGGAAACTGATACATGTGTGAACCAGAACCTAAAGCCTCTCAAGATCGTAAGAAAAACATGCAAAACCTAAGTCAGTTTCAGTAACATCTGATCAGCTAACAAAGACTAAAAGCCAAAGCTTAGGACATGAACCAACCACCCTCTTGCTCTTAAAATTCTTTTCTTCTTTCTATTTGAGTATTGTTGTATTTACAATCAAAAGATGAGAATCAATCTAAAAATGACTTGGAAACTGATACAAGTGTGAACCAGAACCTAAAGCCTCTCAAGATCGTAAGACAAACATCCAAAACCAATGTCAGTTTCAGTAACATCTGATCAGCTAACAAAGACTAAAAGCCAAAGCTTAGAACATGAACCAACCACCCTCTTGCTCTTAAAATTCTTTTCTTCTTTCTATTTGAGTATTGTTGTATTTACAATCAAAAGATGAGAATCAATCTAAAAACGACTTGGAAACTGATACAAGTGTGAACCAGAACCTAAAGCCTCTCATGATCGTAAGACAAACATCCAAAACCAATGTCAGTTTCAGTAACATCTAATCAGCTAACAAAGACTAAAAGACAAAGCTTGGAACACGAACCAACCACCCTCTTGCTCTTAAAATTCTTTTCTTCTTTCTATTTGAGTATTGTTGTATTTACAATCAAAAGATGAGAATCAATCTAAAAACGACTTGGAAACTGATACATGTGTGAACCATAACCTAAAAACTCTCAAGAATGTAAGACAAACATCCAAAACCAATGTCAGTTTCAGTAACATCTGATCAGCTAATAAAAACTAAAAGCTAAAGCTTAGAACACGAATCAACCACCCTCTTGCTCTTAAAATTCTTTTCTTCTTTCTATTTGAGTATTGTTGTATTTACAATCAAAAGATGAGAATCAATCTAAAAACGACTTGGAAACTGATACATGTGTGAACCATAACCTAAAACCTCTCAAGAATGTAAGACAAACATCCAAAACCAATGTCAGTTTCAGTAACATCTGATCAGCTAACAAAGACTAAAAGCTAAAGCTTAGAATATGAACCAACCACCCTCTTGCTCTTAAAATTCTTTTCTTCTTTCTATTTGAGTATTATTGTATTTACAATCAAAAGATGAAAATCAATCTGAAAACGACTTGGAAACTGATGCATGTGTGAACCATAACCTAAAACCTCTCAAGATCGTAAGACAAACATCCAAAACCAATGTCAGTTTCAGTAACATCTGATCAACTAACAAAGACTAACAGCTAAAACTTAGAAACACGAAACAACCACCATCTTGCTCTTATCTACCTATCTTTGGAAGAGGGATCAGGCTTGGAATGTAGACGTAGCCACAAAGGAAAGGGTCACCATAGCCACAGTCACGTTGTGTCTCATTCTGTTTTCTTAATCCTCCCTCATCAATCTCATAAAGATTTAGGCAAGAACGAAAAATCATCTTACTGCCACCTTCTTCTTCTATGGCTCCTTCACATCATGCAATGATACTTTTTTTCCTCTGCTTGCCAAAGCAGTATACAGGATGAGCCATATCTGTATCAAAGACCTGTAAATCCGGGAGATCGGGGCAGGCCGGCACGGTGAAGTATTTGCTAAACGAGACCTTCCCATCACCAGACAACTTGTTTGTAATCTACACATCAATCTTCCTTGATCTTTCTTCTTGACGTAGCAAAGACAGCTTATCTTCTCCATTGAAACAGCCAAGATAAGTGTCGTTAGTGCAAGGACACTCGGTTATAGCCTTGAATCTTTCATCGGAGAAATCAAAACGAAGGATGAAGTCTTTGTGCTTGTATTGAACAATCCAATACATGTTACCCATCAAAGCCAAACCTTTGCACGCGAGATCTACACCCAAAAAAAACCTTATAATTCAGAGTTTTCCATGAATCCGTCTTGAACTCGTAAATCTCAACCTCTGGTTCACCATCATAATCATAACTATGATCGTAGCGACGATCAGAAAACCTCAAGATCGTGTAGCGACGATCAGACTCTTTGATGTCGTATCCGATCCCGTAGTAATCAGATTCCGTGAAACACGTCGAGGGCTGTTAGATCGAGGCTAACAAAAGAGTATAATAAAGACGAGAATAGTAAGAAAGAGGGATAATATAGAAGAGAATAGAAAAGGGAGAGTATTAAGAGTTTAATGTTGATCTTTCTTTAGATAAGGAAACCCTAAAACGGGATCACTGTTCATATACAACGCATAATGACTAAACGACATAGCATTGCCTTATTAACTTAAACGACTCTGTTTCTTCTTCTTAGCCACTTTGACACTTCTTCTTCTCTTGTCTTCGAACTCTGCTTCCTTTCGACCTCTGTTTCTTGCGCATGAAAACCAAAGGCACCTTCAACCTATCAATACCCCCCCCCCCCCAAGTAAAACAACCTTGTCCTCAAGGTTGGAGTCTGGAAACTGATGCACCAGATCCGACAATGATTCCCAGGTAGACTCAAACTAAGGCAATCCCTTCCACTTGACCAACACCTCTGTCTCCGTTCCTGACACACTCCTACGGATATCCAGCAACTCTTCCGGTTCAGTAGCCCACTCTAACTCTGCAGTCAAGATTGGGGGAATGTCTTGAGCTCGAGCTGCTGAGGGAATGGCAAACTTCAAGTGCGAAATGTGGAAGACGTTATGGATGTTGCTGTGCCTTGGTAGGTCGAGTTTGTAGGCCACCCTGCCAATCCTCTGCAAAATCTGGTATGGACTGAAGTATCGCTGAGCCAATTTCTCGTTCTTGCGCCTTGCCACTGAGCTCTGCCTATACGGTCGCAGTTTCAGGTAGACCCACTCTCCCACCTTAAACTCGACATTCCTGCGGTGTTTATTCGCTTCTTTTTGCATCCTGAGATGAGCCAATTCCATATTTTCATGCAACTCCACCAACAAATGCAACTCCACCAACAAACTATCTCGGTTCCACAAGAGCTCTTCAACTTGTGTGTTTACGGTGGGTGTATCCTTATATCGGACCTATCTTGGAGGCTCTCTTCCGTAAACCGCCATGAATGGAGTTGTCTTGGTAGTTGAGTGGTAAGAAGTGTTGTACCAGTACTCAGCCCAAAGCAGCCATTAAACCCACGACGATGGTTTCCTTCCTGCAAAACACCGCAAGTAAGTCTCTAGACACCTGTTAACCACTTCCGTCTGACCATCTATTTCTGGGTGATAAGCAGTACTCTTATGAAGCGCTGTACCCTGCAGTTTAAACAGCTCTGACCAGAAATGGCTAAGAAAAACCCTATCTCTGTCCAAGACCACAGTTTTCGGAAACCCATGCAACTTAACGACGTCTCTGATGAAGGCTTCGAACACAGACCTTGCAGTGAATGGGTGCTTCAAGGCTATAAAATGCCCATACTTGCTGAGGCGGTCTACCACAACCAAGATAATACTGAATCCTCTTGATGTTGGGAGTCCTTCCACAAAATCTAAACTGATGTTAGTCCATATTTGTTGCGGAATTGGTAGAGGAGCCAAGAGTCCCACCAGTGATAAGGTGGCATACTTATTTTCCTGGCATACCTGACACTTACGGATGTAGTTGACAACATCCTTACGCAGCCCTCTCCAGTAAATCTCCTTAGTGAGCCTCTTGTAAGTTTTCAGCGATCCTTCATGGCTTCCCACTGCACTCGAATGGAACTGTTCCAGCAAAACAGGGATCAACGAAGAATCAGCAGGAAGTACCACACAGCCTTCTTGTACAACATCCCATTCTCCCATTGATATTCCCCGTTTTTAGCCACTCCTTACTCGATATCTGCAATAACCTTTTTCAGCTCTGGATCAGCTATGACCTGTCGTGTCACCGCTTCCTTATCCAGAGACAGGGGAACCTCAAACAGCATTTGCAAAGAAGCATCGGCCACAGGTCTACGCGACAGAGCATCCGCTACGCGATTCTCCACTCTGGGCTTATACTTGATCCTGTATTTTAGACCTATCAGCTTTGCAGTCCAGCGTTGCTGCACCGTGGACACATCCTTTTGGTCCAACAGATGTCTCAAACTTCTTTGATCGGTTTTGATGATAAACTCCTTCCTGTCAGGTAATGCTTCCATTTTGTCACCGTCTTCACAATGGCCAACAGCTCCCGTTCATAAACCGATTTAACTCTTCCTTTAGCTGGAAAAGCTTGGCTCAGGAAGGCTATGGGCCTCCGTTCTTGTGACAGAACTGCCCCAATCCCTGCTCCTGATGCGTCGGTCTCGATGGTGAACTCCTTGGTGAAGTTGGGTAACACCAGCACGGGCAAGCTCGTAACAGCAGACTTCAGAGCTTGAAAAGCCCTTGTTGCCAACTCGGACCACGTGAAACCATTTTTCTTAAGCAGTTCAGACAGCGGCCGAACTATCTGTCCGTAGTTCTTGACGAATCTGCGGTAATACCCTGTGAG